AGCAGATCATGAAGCCACTGGATACACTCCAGCATATCTGATGTTTCGTAGGGAACTTCGGTTGCCAGTGGACCTGATAACAGGATGCTTACCATATGAAGAGTTGCCTGAAAATGTTCCCGAGTTCGTGAAAGTGTTATCTGACAGGATGGATGATATTCACCATCAAGTGCATTCAAACTTAAAAACGTCTGCTGATTCCACGAATCTATGTTATGATAAGAAATCTACTGAAGTCAGCTTTGTACCAGGAGACAAGGTGTGGTTGTATAATCCCAGGAAGACCAAAGGGAAGTCTCCTAAGTTGTCTTCTCCATGTGAAGGCCCATATGACATAGTGGATCGTCTCTCAGACGTGACTTTTCAAATAAAATGTGGTCGGCGAGGTAAGGCAAAGGTGGCGCATGGCAACAGGCTTTGGTATTATCACAGTCCAGGACATTTCAGTTGGAACGAAGTGAACAATGGAACAAATGACGCTGCTTAAGACGTGTTACCTGAAAAAGCCACTGTTGAAAAAGAAACTCTACCCGGTTTTGAGAAGGGAAACAGTAAAGCCGTTAATGAAGTTACTACCACTGATGTCATTGCTACCGATAATGGGACATTTCCTGATGGAGCAGATGAACTCCACGTGAAGCAGAAGCTAATGAGACAAAGACCAGTAGGAAAGAAGAAACATCCTGTAAAATTAAGAGAGTTTGTTGTATTTTAATTTTGCGTTTGTAAATTCTGTACATTTAATCAAGTTATTGTTTATTATTTATTGGTTTAATGTAAGTGGCTATTGTTCGGGACGAACAATACTAAGGAAGGGCCAGTGTTACGACAGCGGAAGTCACGCGACCCTGGGAGCATGCGCACTGTAGTTTCTAGAAGGATCATGAATTTTCCTGGCAACTCTAGTTTGTTCAATGCGCCCTCTTTTTTCTTGTATATAAGCCTAGCAAAGAAAGCCAGCGAGACTGGTAGATAGATTGAAGAGATATAGATACATTAAAGATATAGATAATTGAGTCAAGCGAACAGTAGGCACCGTAAGTAAAGTGTGCGATCCACTGTGATTTATAGCGTGTGTTATAAAGGTTGTCAAGTTTAAAGTGACTGTGGAAATTCTGTGTACTAAAAAGTTTTATCAAGAAATAATAAACTAGGTTTGAATTAAGAAAGGACTTGTATCACTGAACTTCCTCGGAAAGAATTTATACCGGAAATTAACAAACGAGCATATACGTAACAAATACCAGTATTTTATTAGTTAAAGTTAATATTCTGATTAACATTTTTACAGTAGAAATGTGTCATTGTTTTTTTTTTATGTAATTAGAAAAAAAACGACGTTTCCGTCCACTGAATCCTGGTCATCTTCTGATGTACAATGTGCGATTTACAAATTATTAGTTAGCTGTGCCTGTAGCTGTATTACAACATGCGTAGATGTGTGAAATAGCATGTGACTATTGCGTCATTGAGATTACTCTGATTGGTTGCAATATTGTAGGAAGGTCGATCTCCGCTTGCAGTCATACCACGAAAAGATAGACGCGTCTTGTGGAAAGACTTTGATCAGTTGGTGTTATTCTCTCAGTCTGTGTTAACAGTTTTATAATAACAGAAACAGTGAAATAATTCGATCACTTGTGTAGTATTTAAAAAATTGTAAACTTAAAATAAGTTATATTTTGATTTAAATAAGGTGTATTTTATTTTATAAAAGATCTGTATTAATAGTTAACTATTAAAACTAAATAAAAGTTAAACATCTCTAGTGCTGCACAAGTTGCAGACGTATCGGCCTAGGCCTATATTGAGAATTAATGGTGGACCAAAGTATAACCCAGCAAACGTCCAAATTGGGGCAGCCCAGGCCACCCCTCTCACTGAAGACCAATCGGCTTGTTGATGATTACATAATAACAGAAAAGGTTCTGGGGCTTGGAATTAATGGAAAAGTTGTAGAATGTTTCAGTAAAAAAACAAGAGAAAGATATGCCTTAAAAGTAAGTATCGAACTGAACTACAGATTTGATGTTCTACTTATAACAATAACAACATTTAATTTTAAGTTTAAATCTTGAGCTAAGTTGAAGTTAGGCTTTGTATTTAACATAACTTTGTAATCTATGTACGTTGATCGAGCTGAATAAAATTACTAAAGGTTTCACAGAAAAATTTCATTGGTAGGTCTAGAGTGGAATTTAAAATGTGTTACAAAAATACAATTAATAATATTGTTGATGACAATAGTGTTATGGCTTTATGCAAACCCAAAATTTAAAATATTCAATTTTGTAACTTGTACAGACTAATCACTTGGAATTATTTAACTTAGTCTTAAGTATGATGCATTCTACATCTAAGGGCAGAAGCTACCCTCTTTTTTCTAAAAACCAAGATGTATTCTGTAGTGTATATTTAGCCTAAATAAATTTTATATTTTGTTAGGCTAATTTGCAATATGAAGAAATAGAAATAGTCGTAAATATATAAGTAAAATGTTTTCTTCTTTGCCATAAAGTTTAATAATAAAAAAACATGAGAAATCCTGATTTATCCTGATAGAATAGTTTGATTACTGTCTGCCCATTACGATTATAGTAAATAGGGGTGCAAGGGAGCTCTGAGAAGGGGGTGCCATGAAACCTTAAGTGTAGTGAGTGTTGATATAATAAGCTTAGTGTTGGATCATCTAGCCAAGTGCTGTATTTTTCGGTGTATAAGACACACTTTTTACACCAAAATTTGATGTTAAAATCTGCTTGCGTCCT